CGAGCACATTTCTTCTCGGGGGGTTCCATCCGAAGAACCTCCCCGAGAGCACCCTCCATCCGCGCCCCCCACAATTACCACCCTCCGCTCTCCCTGCAGCGTTTGGCGCTCTTTCCACGACGCCGACTCCCCGCGTTCCCCGGCCCGAGAGCCCGCTGGTCTGGGGCCCTGGAGGCCCCCTCTGGCCCCGGTCCAGCGCTCTCGGCCACTGTGGGGTCCACCAGGACGTTTTGTGGGCATGCACCCCCTCACCCTCTTCTAAACGTTGTGGGGCTCCAGGGCTCAGATACAACCGAATATGGAGAAAAGGGCTCCCACCCGAGAAGAAGGCGCGGGGCCAGGGTCAGCGGTCGTTTAGGAGGATACGGGCAGAACGGCGCCCAGAAGGGTGCCCGCGCATGGCAGGTGCCCGTGCCGCGCACGGCCGGAGGCTGGGTTCCGTGTGGGCTGATGGAAGGGCATGGCATTGCCGTTCGGCTTGTTCTTGGCGGGATCTGAGACCTCTGAGTGAACCACTTTCCTGACCCCTTAAGGCTTAAGCTATTAAATAGAAGGGAAACCATGTATGGACATGGGGGGGCGGGGGGAGTTTTCAGTTTGCACCCAACTCCAACCAGTTTGGGTTAAAAAAAAAAAAGTAGTTCTAATACAGTATTAACACTAAAGAAAGTCGTTTTAAAACATACAAAGCTATAATGCCACCACCTCTAGACAACTATTCATTTTTTAAATTTTTCAGTTGCACACTTCTTCCTCCCTCTCACTGACTCTAACAGTAGGTACATAATAAAAGTTTGTAAGCTGTACCATAATGAGATTAAAAACATTCCTCTAATATTGAATGTTTATGTTATGCCCAACTTTTCGCTATTATAGGTAACAATGAAATGAATAATGTATGTTTGGTAACAGCTTTATTGAAGTATAAGTCACATTCCATCCAATATATCTCTCTTTGAATTGGTTACTTAGGATAAATTCTCAAGATTGGCATTATGGAATCAAAGGTTGGTTTGTAAAGACATATCAAGGCACAGTGGCACCAGCAATGAATGATTAAACCGATTTCATGTGAGAATTTAAAAAATCTTTGCTATTTTGGGACACATAATGGTACCTCAAAGTTTTGTTATTTATGCATTTCTTTTACCACTGACCAGGATAAATATTTACCCATGTGTTTGTTTCACCTGTGAGATTGCTCCAAGTCTTTGCCATTTACTATTGCAGTCTTGATGTTTTTCTTATAAATTTGGAATCCTGTGGGTCGTAGCTATTAGGCTTTAGCTTGTTTTCTTTGATGCAAGTATTTTCCCCCAATTCTTTATACTTTAATATTTTTAGCCTATAGAAGGTTTACACTTAAAATCAGGGGTGGGCAAAAATAGGGTTACAGTTACTGAATGGAAAATAATACAGTAATTAATAAATAGCAGTACAAGAATAAACTGTTTTGTGTACTCACAACTGTAAACCTACTTTTGTTTACACCTGTATATCAGAATCTGTCAGTCTTTTGTGGTTTATTTTCTATTCCCCCCAAATCTGAGAAATTTATAACTCCTCTACAGACCTGATAAATCTCCTCTTTGAATAGCTACTTGTTGTCTTATAATTTGATTTTTAAAATGTTTTAAAATTGATTTTAGAGAGAGAGAGGAAGAAAGAGAGAAACATCAATGTGAGAGTGGAATATCAATTGGTTGCCTCCCACATGCACCCCGACCGGGAATTGAACCCATAACCTGGGCATGTGCCTTGACCGGGAATGGAATTGGCAACCTTTCGGTGCACAGGATGATACTCTAACCAACTGAGCCACACCAGCTAGGGCTGTTATAATTTGATTTTAAAAAATAGTTAAAACTTTCATCAATATCACTTTTGTGTGCAAGGGATGAGAGTCCAACTCTTATTTTCTAAATGGCTACCTAGTTATCACTATACATTTTGTTCTTTCCCTTTGTTCTAGAAAGCTTATTTTGTCAAGTATTAATGTACACATACATACATATATACACATATATATGTGTACATATATGTATATGTGTACATATCTGTATATATATGATCTATATCTGAACTCTTCATTTTGTTCTACTGATATATTTTTCCATTTCCACACTATTTTAAATATTTTTTGATAGGGTCTAATATCTGTTAGGATTAGATTATCCTTGTTGGATTTTTTTTTTGGTGTGTGTGACATCTCTACTTCCACTCAACCACCCAAGCAAAAATAAATTCTTTGCCTTTTCCAAAGTTTTTGTGGTTTTCACTATAAAGTTCCTACACACCTTTTCTTATATTTATTCCTAAGTATTCCTAAATATTTTATGCATTTTGTTTTTATTATGAATAATCTCTTTTTTTCAGTATGTTTTCTAGTTGGGTATTATTAATCATGTACAAGATTAATCTTTTATAAATTTTGGTCATTTTGTTTAGCTTTTATTCTAGTACGATTTTATTGTTGATGATAATGAATATCTGGCGTTTTGAGGGTTGTAGTCTTGTGGCCTTTATTCCTTGTAAGAAAAACTTTCAGAGAAGGTATCAGTTGGCCTATAAAAGAAGTTGGCTAACATGACTGAACTCAAGCCAGCCAAGGCAAAGTTTTGCTTTCTCTCTCTCCTAGAGCAGTGATGGCGAACCTTTTGAGCTAGGCGTGTCAGCATTTTGAAAAACCCTAACTTAACTCTGGTGCCGTGTCACATATAGAAATTTTTTGATATTTGCAACCATAGTAAAACAAAGACATATTTTTGATATTTATTTTATATATTTAAATGCCATTTAACAAAGAAAAATCAACCAAAAAAGTGAGTTCGCGTGTCACCTCTAACACGCGTGTCATAGGTTCGCCATCACTGTTCTAGAGATTGAGTGAACGAATGAAAGAATTTTTTTTCAAGTCTTTTAAAAGAGATAATGGGAATGAGTGTGCATTCTATAAGCAATAACAATAGAATAAAAGTGAGTTTACAGTATAAATGTATGGTGCTTTGAGACTACCAAGTGATAGAGCTTTATTATTTATTCGGCCCGTGTGTTTTGAGTTCTTGACTGTGCCCTAGGATGAGGTACCTCCAAACTTCTAGGGAAGCTGCTTGACCACAGCACTTGATAAAGAGCAAGGTCATTGTTTTCTGAGCTGAGAGGAGAAGTTTGTATTAGAGCAGGTGGAGCCCGTGTTGACCAGTGTGGTCTGTTTCTGGACAGCTGCAGAGACGTGATAAGCTACCAAGAGAGGTACTTGTCATCCCTGGAGGGAGATGGCGTGCACCCATTCCTCTTAGGGCATCAGGGCGCCAGGGCCAAAGTTCAGTGAGAGTTTGGCTGCTTGGATAGTGGCAGGGCTGTAGTTCATGCTTTGGGCTGATTAATTGCCAACTGGACAGTGGGATAAGTTTTTGTCAGTGACACAAAACTTCATTTTATCAGAAACTTAACCTCACAGCATCAGAGTTTTTAGCATCTATCAAGAATGGGAATACCATACCTAGAAAAATGAGGCTTAAATGTGTAAGTGCTACAGTGTTCAGCACATAGTAGGCACTCAATAAATTGTTGTAAAGTAGAACTTCTTAATTGCTTGGCTTCTCCGCTGGTCAATCTGTATATGGCAAAAGTGGAGACTCGGCCTAAAGGCAAGAGGGAAAACACACGCTGCTTAATTTCTCTCACCTGTCCTGGATGTTTTTGGAATCATGACAGCAGAACCTGTGGGCTTAGGGCCTGCACTCCCTGCCGGAGAGCCTCTTGATTCTCTGAAACACAAACTGCTAAGGTTTACTGACCTTCCGGCCCAGGGCAAGTCCCATTCAGTTTGGCTGTTCCTAACTGATCATAGCTTTGTTGATGTGAGTAAGATGAACTGCTTTGGTTCCTTGTGATTTGTTAATGGTCTTATACTTGTGCTTGAAGGCATTTTGGCCACTTTTAAACCACAAACAAATAATTTGCTTCCCTTTAGGCCTCTTGCCCAAACAGTGAACACTGGTAGGTATCCTGAGGGTTTTTCTTTTTTTTTTTTTTTTTTCCTCCAAGCAGACACAGAGACAGCTTGAGTCAGTCATCTGGCTTAAAATCAGTTTTGTTTGAAGGCTTTATTAAGCCTGGGGAAATAGAAATATCTTTAATATAAAAATCAAGGAAAGGTTTCATATAGCAATCTTTTAAGTTTTCCCTAGAGCAGGGGGGAAACTAACTAGTTCAGTCTCCAAAAACAAAATAGTGAAATTTAACTCTGTCAGTTTATAACATTGGCTAAATGCAAGTAGTTAGTGTGACAGGTGGAAGAACAAAGATGCTATCTACAGATATTCTGATACTGAAAATTAACAAGAGCAAAGAAAGGAAAGAAAAAAGTACATCTGTGTATGTACTAGTAAACCTATTTTTAAAAAATACTTCTGCCAGTCTTATGTTAAAGAAAGCCTACTTAATCCTCCTCCCAAATTAAGTCCTATATGTTTTCAAACTTGAATTTTATTTTAAATATCCTTTGAGCAATACCTGGGTGCTCTTGCATTTACCTGTGATAGATTTGCCTAGAACTAACAATAGGTGTTTAGGGAGTCAGGCTCTGAGGTGTTTGCCCTGGCATGTACATTCATTCCTCAGACAGGGTCTGGTAGGCTGGGAGCACTTTGAGGCTGGGGAACTGGGGTATCTATTTCAGTGATGATTAACGTCCAGAGTGGTGAGATGGACACAGATAAGCAGAGTGTGTTTGTTTGTTTTAAAATGATTGCGCCTAAGAGCATTTTTTTGGGGGGGCCCAGAAAGCATAAAGTTTCCTAACTCTGAACAGAGAAGGCATTGCGGACTGGTTACATTTAATGCCTAAAACAAATATCAACTTAAAGTAACTTTGCTTTCTCCTTCACCTTTCTGCCTTACCTAGGGAGGAGAGTCACTTACTTGTTCTCCAGTTCGTTGCAAGGTTTCGTATACAGGGCTTGGCAAAAGTAGGTTTACAGTTGTGAGTATGCTGAAACACTGTATATTCTTGTATTATTTATTTATTAATTATTATTAGGTGTTTTATTAACTGTAAACCTACTTTTGCCCACCCCTGTATGGATGTTATTAATCTTCAGTCGTTTTGGGGAAGCCTTATTTTTAGTGGTTCTGTGAGTTAATAAAAATTGAGTTCAGTTTACATGCTTATAAAATAAATAAAACAATACACCTGTGGAAGCAGGAAATGGTCTAGTGCAGTCAGTACCTCCAAATGCAAACTGGAAGAATGGAAGGGGCCTTTTCCTCCAAGACCGTGAGAATATAGAAGCTGCTTATATCCTTTCCAGTCTTGTAAAACTTGAAGCGGAGGGGGTGAATTTGCTAGCTTTGAGGGCAGAAACATGGAGAAACCCAGAGTCCTCCCAATCTGCAGGATGAGCAATTCCTATTGGAATGATATTTGAAGATATTGCAGTACTCCGTACTTTCAGTTTTCTGTGTCTAACACCTTCACCTGAGGTAAAAAGTTGTGCTTGAGCTGCTGAAGTCAAACTGACAGTGAGGTTACTGAGGAAACATACAGAGTTAATTTGACATGGAAAAGAATTACCTTTGTGTGACAACTTAACCTCAACTCTGGGTTGACTCTGGCATTGGATACATTTCTGGTCCCAACTCATAACCATGGAACAGGGAGGAGTTCAGGTCGACTCTTCTTGAGGCCAGGCTCCAGTAAATTTTGAAAATTTAAGATGAAATAAGCTGTTTGAAAAATGAGAAAGTTGAGTTGAATTTTCAGTAAAAATTGGCATACCTCCGACTTTGATTCTTAGAAACAGATTTTTGTTAAGCTCCAGAATTTATGTCAGGTGTGTCAACCATCAGGTGAGGTTGAGAATCCCAAGATCTGGTTTATTTCTATTCAGCAGTCTTGCTCAGGTTTGACCAGGATTCAGCTGGAACTGCAGTTGTAATTTGTAGAAGCAAGATGGTTGGGCTAATTAAGAATCTTTTGAATCCTGAATCATGTAAATGCTTGAACTGTTTCTAAAACTGAGTATGAGACTATCTGGAGAACGAATTTATTTCTTGTTAGTGGTTTG